CATTTTCTACACAAAAACCAATAATCTACTTTTTCCATCAGAAATTTTGAAAACTAGAAATTCATTTTGGAAACATAACCAAACATCCCCTATGAGGGTTGAATTTGTTGAATTACTGTTTATAAGTAAATTATTACGCACGGTAAAAATTAAATGCAATTAATTAATTACCTGATGATGATTAATAATTTAATAGACCTTCTTGGTAAATAGGCTCTTTATGTTAAATAAATTACTTCTACGTACCCCTTCACCGGAGACGATGCCCCCGATCTCACTTTCACCTCCGCCGCCGGCGGCGGCGACACTTACTGCGCTATTCTCATCGCTTGTACAGCTCAAATGGTGGCGGTAGCCAATACACATGGGAACGTTCAAACTCAGTACTCTAGCCTTCGGTGCCGGTGGTTTCCGGCGACCCTCATTACCACCTCCGGCAGCGCCGCCGCTGCCGCGGCGGACCTTCCAAACAGGGCTGCTCCTTCCCAGGTGAACACCTGCTCTGCTAGGGCTATTAGGCGGCCACTTCCTGAACTTGGACTCGCCGGTGGAGTTGCTCCGGGAGCACGGCGCGCTGCACACTTTCCGAGCAGCCGCCACCGCGGCCGCAGGCCGCGGCCGAGTTCCGCCGTTCCCGGCGGATCTGCTCCTCGAGAAAGGCCATATGTTTATGTTGAGCTCCGCCGCCGCACTCACCAGATTACTCGCGCCGCCGCCACCGCTACCGCCGCCGTTCTTCTTCTGATGATCTCGCTTCTTCTCTTTAGTAATTGGATGATCATCTGAGTACTCCAACCCTTTTAATTTATCACTCTTCTTGAAAATATACCTCCACCGTTTCGACGGAGTCAACGTGCAGTCAACGGTTGACGATGGTCCCATTTCCGGCGCCGGCGGTGGAGGGTCGTGAATACTAGAGGGTTGTTGGAGTTGGAGGAGATGGAGGGGTAGGAGGAAACCGCCGGAGAAGAGCACGTCGGCGGAGAGGAGATTAGGCTGAGGAAAAGAAGGGTTTCCGACCATCCAGAACTCGAACTCCGGCGAGTTTGCATCGACGCTTACTCTTCTTCCACTGGTGCATGGTGATAGAATTCGAGGAAGGACCTCTGCTTCTTCCATTAATTAATTAATTATTTCTCTTTCTTCTTTTCCAACTCAATATATCAGTTTTTATTTTTATTTTTATTTTTAATAATGGAAAAAAATATATAATATAATATAATTGGGGTTGGAGTTTTTGAGAGAGAAAGAGACCCTACATCTATTGAAGTTAAGAGAGAGAGAGAGGAATGAGCATTGAGTAATAAAGATAGTGATAGGGACCTCTTAATAAGGTTGGTTGAGAGACTCATACTTTAAATATTTTTTTTGTAAATTGCACTTTACCTCCTTGTGGTTTGAACTTTGTGCAGATAACCTCTTATACTTTTAAAATATAGCATATGACCCCCCTTGTATTTCAATATGAGCATATATCTCTTATACTTTCAAAAATTTCTCTTCCAAATGAGCATGATTATTTACCGAAATGAAACACAACGGGAGATGGTTATGTGCTTATATTAAAAGTACAAAGAGGTCATATGCACATAATTCAAATTACAGGGAGTCATGTGCTTATATTGAAAGTACAAGGGGATCATGTGCATAAACATCAAACTACATGGGGATTAAGTGTTATTTAGTCTATTATTTTTAATAATATTATTTAAAGTTTATCAGAAATAACTCAAAGAGATAAACTATAACTACAAAAAAATCCCCTTACTTTTGGGAAATTACATCTAGCCTCATATAGTTTGTAAATATCTTACATTCACCCCTCTACAAAAGAGTGTCAATGTAAGAAATTTACAATTGCAAGGGAATGGATGTAATTAAAAAAATATGAGGAGTTTTTTTGTAAATTAATTTTACCTCAAGGATTGGTTGTAATTTACACTGAAAATTCATCTAATAGGAGTAATGCTAATCTCTTTAGAGAGAATCAAAACAGACAGAATTAAATTGGAGTAATATTTGAGAGTGATATTTGTTTAATACTATTTGTTCGTTGGCTAAAACTCAAATTTGCTAATAAATAAATTCGTTTCCAAGCGAAAAAACAGTTAATGCATTTCGGGCCCAATGGCCCAAACATCCCAGTCTGGGCCTTTCCTGACAGCAACTGCCACGTGCCATTTGGATTCAACAACGCCCAATTCTAGTGGTCCTTGTTCTGAATAATGTATTCGGATGTTTTGTAGATGCTACATCCGATGAAATATATTTCATTGGATAGTTCTGCACAATTGTATGTGCGTAATTGCTTACTGGATGATTATTTATAGAGATTTATTGTGCAAAATCATCCGTTGTTTTTCACCGGATATAACATCTCATACAGTGATGTAGCCAACATAGAGCCAGAGGGAGCCATGGCCTCTCAAAAGTTCTCGAATTCCTATATTTATGTAAGGGTCTAAAAAAAATCATATATAATTAGCATTATCGCCCCCCTCTCGTAATTTTTTTAATGCATTCGGCCCCTGCAAGCTTAAAATCATAGTTCCGCTAGTGATCTCACATACCTGATTAATTATAATTGTTATTTATTTATTTTTGTTTGAAGAGTTATACAAGATTTGATTAATTTCTTTATCTTATTTGTCTCCTTTCTCGTACATTAAATCGTAAATCGCAAAAAACAAATTTATAATTTAAAAGATAATTACCCAAAACTGTTTTCTTTCGGTTGTTGTGATGTGATGCATACCTACCAAATTATTGTTATGAACATCCAATTGTGAAGTGTTCCTCTCTTCACATGCAAATAGTGTAACTGCACCATGTGAATATTACTTTTAAATTATTATTTATTATTATTAAATATTATCTCAATTATTTATTATTACCAGTCCGATGAATGCAACCTTATCTCAGAATATTATTATAGTTAGATGAAAAAATCATGAGTTAGCTATTCATTAAATTCTCTTGCAGTGGCGTGACATAGGTCAGGCTTTTATTTATGGAGATATGGTTATATACTTAAACTTTGCCTGATACGCATTCAATTACAAGTGTAATTATCAACCAATTTGTTAAGTGCTTTAATGATTCCACAAGGTTTTTCTTTTTAATGGGACTTAATTTCATCATCTACTTTCATTCATAATTTATCCGTACTTTCAATTTCCAATACTACATTAAATGATTTTTTTTTCCTATTTTTAACCTTGTTAATTCAACTCCATCACTAAACAATCAAGGTTATTTTCGTCTTTTTAATGTGTTTTTCCTGAAGTTAAGATCCATTTATTGAGATTTTTAATACTTGCGCAAAACTAAAAAACGACAATAAATTAAGAAAGGAGTATTAATAAGGTCGGTGTATCTAGGATTTTTCCGAATTAGTATGGCAAGATTTCGGGACCGGATTCTCCGATTGATTCTATCCACATTTTTATGTGGTTCCAAATGGAATATATTTTGGCACATGTGAAAATAATTGTGCATCATCTAAGACACGTGCAAAGAAAGAACAATATAGTTTGAAAATCAAACCTTTGGTTTATGAATTTGCAAGAAATCGTTTCATAACGGGACTGTACTTCGATGTATTATTAATCCTAATCATAGTACTGGAAACGATAACATTAACTTAGACTAATCCTCGGACAAGAACAAGCAGAAGGAGAATAAAACGGGAGAATTGTCTTTAAAATGACGAAAAGGGTAAAAACGGTTACTGTGATATTGCCAAAAAGAATAAGCAATGTGTGTACTCACACTTATACTTGGGATCCAATTTCCAGCAGTAAGGTGTGGCTAAGCGTATCCGATGCTGGGCCAACAAATTGAATGGGACCTGTAATTACGGGAAGAAAAAAACGGAACAAAAAACAATCAGAGTCGACCAGTAAATTTGAGATGAGAAAAGGAAAAATAAATAAATAAATAAGCTTACCAGGATTAATATATCGGTTTTTAAGAGCCCACTCTTCCCTTAACGACACGAATTTCTTGAATGGGGCGCCTGTAATAATCATCGAAATACATAAAGTAGTTAAGTATGATATAGTACATAGTTAAAAAAAAATAAGAACAAAAATAAAAATAAAAAATTCTTACCATCTAGTTCAACCATTGCCTTCTTTATCACTGGCTTGAATTTACCTGTAACATAAATATAGTTTCCAATGGAGTTTAGACATTTGAAATTACGTGAATTAGAAATAATATTCGAAAATAAGGTGGGAATAAAAACCATGTCTTCTTTCGACATCCATTAGTGAAGTTAGTGCAGTTCCACCGACAGTCCATTCTTCCACCGGGGCAGCCAAGTTCGCCACCTGTAAATAACCAAAAAAGGGTTTTAAAAGCTGATTCGAATTAAGCTAAGATATATCATGCTTATAATGTATTAAAAGAAAACCAGCACATACAGAGGATATTAATCCGGTTCTCCCACTGTGAAGCAATGCTCCAGCACCATAACCCAAAGCGTAGCAGTACGTTGAATCGAAATTAGATGGCAAACCACATCTCCCTTCATATCTGTGATTTTAATGTCACGTTGAATTTTAAGATTTCAATTGCCCTAACTCAAAGGTTGTCTAAGATATTTAATCCACAATAGACGAGAAGTACCCGAAAAAGTGAGGTTGGCCTTTGAAATCACCCTTATAAGCAGCTGCTTTCTTCCTCACCTCCAACTCAGTTTCGACCATTTGAATAAGCATTTTTTCAGTTTCGATTTTGGCCACCTGAAAAAAAATAGACAAACAAGTTCACCATAATGCGAGTATATAATATATTAATGAAAAAAAATCATTGGAAATCGTAAATACCTGAACATTTCCATGTGGATCTCTCTCAAGCATCAATTGCTCCTGGATTGCTGGAGGTAGAAGATCAAAAAGCTGATGAGACGGAGTAGTGAGTTTCTTTTTCCAAGCACCAGCTTCATCTACAGTTTCATGTGCCAAAATTTCATTCAATTCTGCGATAAGCTGTTGGACCTGCAAATGGAATATAAAACCAATAAATAAATTATAATCAGCACAATGAAAATATATGAGTGGGTAAAAAAACAAGAAGTGATTGATAGGTTTCCTAAATATATTTACCTCTGGAATGAAATCTATTAGTCCTTCTGGTATGAGTATAACACCATAGTTGAAGCCAAGTTCCGCACGTTTGCATATTACATCAGCAATGTAGTCTGTAACATTTTTAAGGGTCTGTTTCTTTGCAGCTACCTGCAAAATATTGAGCTTGTTGGAATCGTTTATTGAGATGAGAAGTAGCTAGTTAGCACAAGCGATTTAATTTTAGATGATTGCGTTGTTTATTTAGACACCTAGCTTCTGACTTTTGCAGTTATATTTCATAACCATACTTAACTAAATTCTATATGTCAGAAATCAATGTGCAATGGAAAATCAGATGTCTGGAAAAAGGAAAATTGGATAAAGAAAAATTGGATAAAGGAAAATGCACCTCTTCTCCAATAAGAGTGATGTTTGGATGAGTTTGCAAAGCACACTCCAAGGTAATGTGAGAAGCAGCACGTCCCATAAGTCGAACAACTGCAGGCATGAGATGTTATATAAATTCATAACTCATCTAAATATAATAACACCACAAGAGTATCATGAACTGTAAAGTTTTGAGCTGCCCAGTCAAAAAATATTTAAAAGAAAATGACTCTAGCAGAGGGAACTAATTTGAACAAAACGTAAATGATTACAAACTTGGAACTGTATATATTGAGAACCAACAAAAAAAAAAAAACTGAAAGGATGGCCATTTTTTAGTTGATGAAAGCACAAAAAAGATAAAATTAAATATAATTTTCAAGCCTATTCTGGGAATGACCGTTGCAAAAAAGTTCCACTCTCTATGTCCAATTACTTACAGTGGTAGTATTTTCCTGTTGATCGAGCATCTACCATGACATTCCCGATCATTTCTGCATATACCTGCAGAAAGCCAATTACTTGTACTTCAGAATAGTGAATGTTACTATTCAATATTTCAAGGAATCACTTTGTATAAGTCCAAGATAGTATACTACTCCTCGAAAGCAAACTTTTAGATTCAGTAAAAAATTGTGTGAAAAGCGTTTAGGTCAATGTTTTGGCGTCTTAATCCTAAAACTTTATTTGATAACCCCACATCATCCATCATTTAACACAGATATATCAAGAAAAAACAACGGAACTAACATATAATACAGAAAAGAAAGAGTTCCATGTTGCAGAAATAATTTGGTGCAATAACATATATAGAAGGTTCATACAAGTATAAACTACAGGCAAGTGCATATATAAGTATCACCTTGCAAGCAGTATCAAACCCAAAACTTGTGGGGACCTCCTTGCATTTAAGGTCACCATCAATCGTCTTCGGACATCCAATAACCTTAGTTTTCAATTTTCTACTCCTGTAAAACATTATAATAGTATTAATTTATTAAGAAAAATCAAGCATAGAGTCACAGAGAAATCACTGAGATAATAGTATCCCCCACTAAATAATAGATTACCAACCTAAAATTCTCTGCCAGAAGGCAAGCATTCGTATTTGAGTCATCTCCGCCAATTACGACAAGGCCATCTAGATCAAGCTTAACTGATGTGTCTTCAGCTTGCTTAAACTACAATGAAATTGGTGCAGCTTCTGTCAGTCTTTTAACCATGATTTTAACCTAGGTAAATCACGAAGTACCAACAGAGATAATTAGGTAACCTGTTCTGGAGTCTCTATCTTATCTCTTCCACTGCAAATCATATCAAACCCTCCCTGCAAGTAAACAATTAAGACATATTGCATAATATTAAATCATTTTGCTCGGTTTCTCTTCATATCTAAAATATTTGTTAGAATAAAAAAACCGATTAGCCAGACACAAAAGCCAGAGAGTATATTATCAAGAAGCCAGAATAGCCAGACAGACAGATAACAAGGAATAGATTCTTCCCAAGATAGACACAACCCACAAATCTACTAGTCTAAGAGAGACACGAATTACCTCACACATTGATTCCTAACTTAAGACAAACTCCTAAATTAATCCTAACATTAGAAAACAACTTCATGAGAACCTCAGGCAACGATTGAACTTACCTGGTTTCGGTAAGGATAGATGAAATCTGAATTCAACACCACATATTTGCCCTTCATTATGCCAGCTGGTCCACCCCTGAATCCATACAGTGTGCTGCCTTTGCATCGATCCTGCAAGTAATCTAAAACACATATCCATGCCTCGATTAAATCACTTCACAGAAAAATAAAAAAAATCAGCACAAAATATTTCAAGAAAAATGATGGCCTCACCAAAAATTCCAGAAATAACATTGTGCCCTCCTGGGGCTTGGCCTCCAGATAAAACCACTCCAATCTTCAAGGCCTGTCCAGACGAGTTATTACTGTCTGGTACCAAGGCTGCCGACGGTTGTCCAAAGAGGCAAGGAAACAATTTCGCAATCTCATCTGCATTTTAATAAATCACTGTTGAGTGTTTATCCATAATCCCAATACTCTTAATTGGTGTTTGTCAACTTGATACTAGGTCAAGTTATTTGACTAGAAACACGCGGAATAGTTTTCAACTAGTCTTAAACAAATAGAAAGCATTCAGCAGCATATAATGACAGATATATCAATAGTGTCCAACACATGCATAAACATTAACTAGTATTAGACTATTACTTCGTACTTTATAGACATGGAAAACTTTTTGGAAAGCAATTAAACACCGTAAATCCAATTTTTTCACAATCAATTAAAAATCATACCCCTGAGACAGACGGAATAAATCGAGCAAGCATGAAGCAGAAACTAATCGACTATACGTCCTTCCTACGCACGGTGATATCAGGAGCAAAAAAATGTGTCTAATATAAAGATGAAATGTAAATCATTTTTTTTCTGGATATCAATTGAATTTACGAGAAAATAACAGCAATAACACATCAAATCGTGTTAATCAACCAAAAGAGTTAAGTTTTCCAGATCACGCAAGGATTCATGAACAATCTCTAGATTTACGCGATTCAAGCGATCAGATCATTGAAAATACTCATCAAATAATCATTTAAACACACATATCATACATTCGCCTAAAAAACACGCTGAGTGCGTGGGAGAGTGAAAAATAGATTGTGCGTACGAATTTTTCCGTTAACACGCACCTGGATTCCCTGCGGCGGAGCTAGGTGGACCGTCGACGACTTTGAATGGTTTTTTGAGGACGGAGGGGAGGGGGAGGGGATGATCGAGGCGGCTGTTCTGCACTTCGCTGTAAACAGCGGCGTAACGGCCGGCGGTCGGGGATTTAACGTCGGCTACGTTACCGTTAGCAACCAATGCAGGAGGTGCCATCGGAATTTCGTCGTTCTTCGAGAGAATTCTAACGGAGTGAGCGAGTGAGCAAAACCTCAGATCTTACGAAGCGGGGCGGAGCAGTCGATTTTTTTGTTTTTAGCTGTTTGAGAGTGTTGTTCTCGTAAGATCCGCCAAAAGGGTTTGTTGAGGGTGTTTATGTCTTTTAAAAATTACGGAAGAAAATTAACACTTAAAACAAAATCAATATTTTCGAAATAATTTTTTTGTTATAATTCATTTGGAAAAACATTGAAAAAATATTGGAAATTTGAAATGAAAAATCATGTTTCAATTAAATCGGAATCGGAGAAATTTAAATTTCTAATAATTTATTCACATGCATTGTGAAATACATAATATAAATGTAATTTTCAAGGAAAATTTGAGAATTAAAATAAATAAATAAACGATTCGAAAAAAAAAAATTGAATCAAAATCAAGATTCAGATATTCGGTTCCAATTTTAACCCTATTTGCACTCAGCGTATATGGGCCAAAAGCCCACATGTAAATGATGCTACTCAAATATTGATTGGGTAAACCAGTAATCTTTGGGACCAACAAAGTAGATAATGTTGAGAGTCACTGCCACGTGTTCGAGGTAGTCGGAGATGGCTCCACTAGTTGTTGCTCAAATATCGATTGGGCAATCCAAGCGTATTTGAGCCTCTGCAATAGTAGACGTTGGTGAAGATTACTACCACGTGTCTGAGATAGTCGCGAGGACATATTCACTCACTGTTGCTCAAACGTCGATTGAGCAATCGAAAAGTATTTGAGCCCGCAAGAGAAGAGGTCTACTCGTTAATGTAAAAAATAGTTGATTGCTTCCACGTGTTTGAGGTAGTCGAAAAAACACATATAATTAATTACTTTTCCACTAATTGCAAAATCAACATTATCTTTGAGGCTTACAATTCATCAAATGTCCACATAAAAGCTTTACCATTGCCATCATTTGTACCACATGACATGACAACTTGCTAACTTAAGAAATAATACAATCATATGTTAAAAGAATTATAATTATTAAGCATGCTCCAATACACATATCACATGATAAAACACCTACATCTTTCTTCCTCATTATTTATATCCTGTAAAGCTACATTCCGAATCTTGAAGATTAGATTCTCTCCACTTGATTAAATTGAAAATTTGATTCATCAACTTTGATTTTGAGATTATATACATGTTCGATGTCTGTGTAACCCATGTATCGAACGTTTGAAGAATAAATGACATACTCGAGTCACAAAGAGGTTAACTCACAGAACCATTCCAAAACATTACCCTTGTGATCGTGAATTTGAGTCGCAAGGGAGTGACGAGTTAGGCACCAATATCTTTATTTATTTATTTTTTAAATAAAAACTAGGACAAATTACGGCCACCCCTCTGAGTTATGGTCAAATTACGAAAACCTTCCTTCTGTTTGGGTAATTACAGCCAACCCCCACAACTATGTATTATCTTACTAAAATACCCCTCCAGAGGTAAATTTAGGGATGTTAAACGGTAAAACCGAACCGGAATTTCGGTACGCCAACATTTCATGCCGTTTACCAAACTGAATATACGATTTGATTCGGAAAATAACCGAATTACATAAATTTTATGTAAGGGTTTTTTTCGTAATTTGACTATACCTCAGAGGTGTGGCCGTAATGTGCCCTAAAAAAATATAAAAGATGTTTTATTGTGACATATTACAATAAGCTAATTATAGTTTAATACCTTAAAAAAGGCATAAGACCAGTGTGGCCCTTCTGCTAATCATTTTGTACCTATATACCTCCATTACATTTAATCTTTTTTTATTTATGATTGATTATTAAATGATTGGATAGGGTTATTAGACATGCTTGTTTGTGAAGATTTTTCTTTTGATTGTTTTATAACTAGGGAGTACTTAATACACGTCTTTTAAATATTTGAAAATTATGTTCTTTAAACTTGAACCACTAATAGAAAAGCTAATAGCCACCTAATACATGCCCTATCAATGAAAGTAAGAAGGACCCAAAATCATTTTATTGGAGGCGAGAGTTCGAAAATACCGAGCTACCGATTTATGGGAATTCGAAAGCAACAAGAATTGCTAAGGTCCGTGGGATATGAAGTGATGCTTGTGTAGGATTGAAAATCGAACCGATCAGATCGAACATCAAAATTGGGCATCTCGAAAAAATTCTGATTTTTTTTTCGGAAGTGAAAAATCACTTGTGATTCCGATTCGGAATTTTTCGGAATTTAAGAACATGTTCCAATTTTGGAATCTTCGAATATCGTTGGAAAATCAGAAATCTCGAAAAAAAAATTATATGATATTTATAATTTCGGAAAAGTTCGGAAGATAAATTGCTAACTGTCGGGGAATGGAATTTGCTGCTTCTCGAAAAAAGATTGAAATTTAAACCCGTGTAGGTTTCACATCCTCCAAAGTGCCACCAAAATTTGTGTTTGAAGGGTGCAATCCGCCAATTTCATAATTCAAGGATTCAAAGTGCCCAAAACATGTAATTCAGGGGTGCAAAATGCTAAAAATAAATAAATAAAAAATAAAGGGTAAATTACAAACACCCCCTTAAGGTTTGGTCAAATTACAAAAAACCCCTCTTGTTTGGATAATTACATCTACCCCTCAGCTATGATTTTTTCTTACACCTCCACTCTTATGGTGCCAAATTCAACACAATCATCTAGATTCCTTGGAATGTGCTCTAATTTGTACTCGTTTTCGGTAAAAATACAGTTTCCGATGCACCACAAACTGATATATACAAGCTAAAAAACACATATTATGATCATCTTGCTTCATAATCTAGAGTTCGAACGGGATAAAACGGGTACAAAAGTAATAATATTCCTTATAATCTCGAAGATTCCACTAATTTTGAGGAGTTGAGGGGTGGTTGTAATTATCCAAACAAGAGGGGTGTTTTTGTAATTTAACCATACCTCAGGGGGTGTTTGTAATTTACACAAAAATAAAAAATAAAAAATAAAGCCAGATCTACGTAGGATCATGACAATCATTACATAAATAAACAAACGAAAATGTTCCCTCCATATCAGTTCAAATCCTCCTAACCTAATCACTCCATACTTTTCCACACACTTTAATCTCAGGACATAATCATGATTAACCCTAACCCCACTGCCTAATCCCATAAATCAATTCTTTTGGCAGATCCCAAAAAACTCTGTTCCATCTCTGTAAGAAATAAAAGATGCAAAAATCCAGGCAAGAAATGGCAGTCAAGAAACAGAGGAAGCTTCAAATTAGTACCAGAAACAGAGGGTGCAAAGCACTCTGCTGCGGCTGTAGGCTAAGTGTTTCTTCTTCCTCGGAAGAACCCGAAAGCTCGACAAACAGTTCAGACAGATTCTGTAATAATATTTCCAGCATCGCACATGCGATGGTGCAGGAAAGGCTGGACCAGATGATTAGAGAGAGGAGAGAGGCGAGGGTCCAGGATATGATACGACGGTCGAGATCGAACCGTGAAGGAGGTACCAGGTTCGTGGTGATGGTGGCTATGGAGAAGTCGTCGTACGACCCTAGAGAGGACTTTAGAGAGTCGATGGAGCAGATGATTTGTGGGAATAGTATGATTCGCGAGGCGAAGGATTTGAGGCGGCTGTTGAATTGTTATCTGAAGATGAACTCGGAGGAGTTTCGCGGCGTTATACTCGAGGTATTCTATGATGTATGTAATGATTTGTTTCCGTACTGTGAATGACACATTTGATTTGGTAACCATTCTTATTCAACGGGTGTATTCTATGCTACACCCAATAAATTTCACCAGATTATATCCCTACCATACACTGATACACGTGTACAGATCCATACGTACTCTACACACGTCACTTGTATGTGTGTGTGACTGTGTGTAATCAAGAAAAATTACGTGGTGTATTTCACCCGGTATAACACCTAGTAGAAGTATCCAAGATGTGTGTGTATATATATGTGTGTGTATGTGTGTGTGTTCTTGCTACTTTGAAACTGCAATAGGTAGGTTTATAGTATAGTTGCTTCTTGAAATGGGATCATAGGAGTAAGTGAATAGGAAATTTCAAGAAAGTTAAGCAGTAATTACACAACAGTAAACCATCTGTAAGGTGAGAGATTCACATACTTTATCTATATACGAATATATGTATACACACACTATGATATAACTCTGTAGTTTCTAATATGGGTTCTTGTTCATCGCCCATAACTGTTTTATTACACGCATAGGAGTGCCGAAAATAATATTAAAAGATGGGTAATTATTTAAAGTGTCAAGAGCGGGCTACCTTCTTTGATGAGGACAAATATACTGCCTCCATCTCCTCTGGAAATGCGAAGCTCGTCATCGAGGTAAGTTGTAAGCAGCCATGATTCTGCGTTTTTATTCGAGATGGAGAACTTCAAAGGCGGTTGGCTAGAAATGGTCTTGGCCACAGAGGAAGCTGTGTCTTGTACAGAGGCGAACAAGCCTTTGAAGGGTGAAAGATCAATGTTTTGTCCTAAAAACTCGACATTTTCTGGTAATACGATTGAATCTGTCAACTGGGGTGTGCCGATTACACCACCTTCAAACTTGATCTGCATATCAGCACAAATGGAATCAGAAAAAAAAAAAAGAAGAAAAAACAGAGCAATATATAAACATGTAAGAAGCTAAAAAACCGATTCTTTCAAGAATTAAGTCAGAGTTTAACCTGGACACGTTTAGGACTTCGAACTTCGAATTTGGCGTTGGTGGTAATTGCAGTGGTTGCTAATGGTCCAGAAAACAGAACCGAGTTTTGGACAGTGAAATTGTCTGCGTCAATGGTTTGAGATATCTCTTCAAGTTTCACTAGTGGGAATGTTGCCCCTCTTGATAATAAAGGAAATAAACCCGCAAAGGTTGTGTACCTGCAAATCCAAATCAAAACAAAAGAACAAGAAATCGGACTCAATAATCTAATCAAAAATCAAATTACTCGATACTCAATTTCAGCACTCGGTTTGTTTAACATAAGAAATCAAGCTTGAGCACATTTTTGGTTCATAAGCTACAAAACTCCGCTTGAGCTTGATTCATGTTCAGCTCGATCAAAACTCGTTCGAGCTCGAGTGGATGGTGCTCATCAAACTAAGCTGAAACAAAACTTTGAAAGCTTGATAAATTTTCAAACAAGAACAACCACACGTTCGACTCGATTCATTTATAAACCCCTAATTCGTTTGGCTCGATTCATAGTTCTCCAGATATAAATTATAATACGAAGCAAGCAAAAATATCCCCTAATATGATTCAGAAACTATGAAATAATACGATTATAAAACAAAATTCTACAAATTCGCACAAATTAGAATTGCAATAATCAAATTCAAATTTCTTAGTTTAACACACCAAGGAAAAAAATCTGCAGGAAGAAAAATAACTAATAATCATTCTGTGAGTTGAACTTACGCAAGGATCCATTTCCCGTTGAGTAGGGGCAAAGCCTCAGTCGGAGCAGGAGTAGGGTTTTTGGCCTCGAGCTGCGTGATAAGCTCCACAACCTCAGCCCTAGTTTCACTAGAAGCACTCAATCCCCTGTTCGTTCCGTAAAACGAATCCACCAATTGCTTCTTTAATACATCAATTTCCGACGGCTTCTCCTCCAGAACCGCCACTCCGGCGGAGGAAGGCTCGCTGTCAGGACCCCACTCATCGTCGCTCACCAACCGAACGGAGAAATCACGCTTCACCTTCGCCGAATTCGCCGTCGAGAGCGCCGGAAACTTGACCCGATTAACGCTACACGAGGCAACAATCGGCGCTGATTTAGAGTTCTGAGACGAATTCTTCAAGGAATTGCAAGGTAATTTACTGATGGAGGCGATTGACGCCATTTTTGCTGAGGTTGAAGCAATTGAAGACATCTTTTGTTAAGTGGTTTTTCTGTAATCAGAAAAATGTCAAATTATATATGATTTGAGCAGTTCAGATGAAAAGACGGTATTACCCCTGTACTTTTGATTGGCTCTTGTATTGGTGACGGAGGTTGTTACATAATATGGACAGCATTTGTGTGTAATGTGAGGTTAAGATTGGTCCATAGATTTTTCTTCCATTTTTCACCAATCTAATTTGGTATTAGATATTTCTAGAACATTCGTGCTTTCTAGATTTTATTTTTTATTAAAAATAAATAAAATTAATTGGACCACTAGGATTGAGATCAACGGTCAGGATTAAATGACTTTTGTGAACTTAACATTTACTGGAGCATTTGAATTGGTTTGGGCCATAATAATAACTATAGTTGATGTATGTTTTAATTGGGCTTCTCTTTGTATATTATAAGTATTTGACTAGTTGGGCTTCTCTTTGTAGATTTTAAGTATTTAATTGCGGGTGTAAATGAGCTCAGCTCGTCAGTTTTTTCGAGTTCGAGTTAAATTTGATGAGCTCGAGCTCGAGCTTGAGCTCAAGCCCACCCGAGCTATTTGAGCTCGAGCTCAACTTATCTTAATTTTTTTGTTTTTTTGTTTTTTATAATTTTTACATAATATTAAATTTAGTTTTTATTGTAAATTATTTATATGAAAAAAATAAAAATTAAAGAATATAACATTAATCTATAATTTTTTTAATATATACATATGTATATATATCTTATTGTTATATATTATTTATTTTTATATTAATAATAAAAAATTAATACATATATATATATATATATAAGGCTCGTGAGCCTATGATAAAGATATGGACTCGAGTTCGAACTCGGGTTTTTGTCGAACCGGCTCAGCTCATTTAATTATATATTATCCATAATAATATATTAATCACTAAATCCACATAAGCTTTTATCAATAGCAGCCACATTGACTGTTGTGATTAAGCTATAACATATAATTTATTAAATTTAAAGCACGTTTAGTGCTAATCATTTTTTAATGACTATAGGGAAACTATACGAATGTAAATGGGACGAAATTTCATACTTGTCCAAAATCCAATCTACTTTTCCAAGTCACCTTAGACACTCAAATGTCAATATCTTTTGATTTTCTTTTTTATGAAGTAATAAACTATTACATGACAGATAAATTAGAGGAACATTGTCTAATTGTCTTGTGCAGAATTAGTCGGACGAAGCTTGGACATCAATGTTATATGTTGTACAGTTTATCAAATTTAATCAAACCGAGTTATTACCATGCACAGAAAACCCTGAAGTTGGAAGATAAATACGTGAAATGAGAAGACAAATGATCACGTAGTTCAGCCTTGAAGAAATGGCCTATATCTACGAGAGAGAGAGCAGATCTACCATTATCAATACCAAAAAAGAAGGAAAAGAAAAAAAAAACTCAATACTTTCAAAATGATATATAAAATGATCTACCATATCCATAGAATTCTAAATATATGCAAGAACAACACGTGCACGTAAAAAGTTAGCAGCCTCCATTTCATCACTAGGCCAAAGAACATGGGCATCAAGATTTCATCACTAATTAAGTAGAGGCCCCACCACCCTACTACACTTAAATTTAATTATGAGATATTATCTTATAAAAATTAAATATTTACTTGTAAAAGTTAGATATGGATCAAAGATTTTTTAATTGATAGCAGTAGCAGCCACAATTCTGTTATCTCACAGAATAATTGTTTATAACTAATCTTTTTAAATTACTTGTAATTAATTATGCTTACTTGCTCTTAATTAATAGGCGCCAAATCAGACCCTTCTTGAACTCTATAAATTCCCCTCCAATATGCAGATATTTCATCACACATCTCTCTCTCTCTAGATCTCTCTCTCTCTCGTTGGTTCTTTCTCTCTCTCTCTCTCTCTCTCTCTCTCTCTCTCTCTCTCTCTCTCTCATACAAAATGGCAAGTTTTCCAGTGATAAACATGGAGAAGCTCCACGGAGAAGAAAGGGGAGCAACAATGGCGATGATAAACGATGCATGCGAAAACTGGGGATTCTTTGAGGTAATTAAACCTTACAAAACAGAAATTTATAATGTAATTTAATTAATTCGCTGACGTAATTAACTAATTAATTAATCTGTTTCGTGAAGCTGGTGAATCATGGGATCGGTCGTGAGATTATGGACACTGTCGAAAAGCTGACGAAGGATCACTACAAGAAATGCATGGAACAGAGGTTTAAGGAAATGGTAGCTAAAACGGGACTCGAAAATGTCGAGTCCGAAATAAAAGATTTGGACTGGGAAACGACTTTCTTCCTGCGCCATCTCCCTCTCTCTAACATCTCCGAATTCCACGATCTTGAAGATGAATACAGGTTCTTGATCGAATAATCTCCCACCTTTTTTTCCGATATTTTATTAGCAAAAATTACGATAATTAATTAATTATTTAATTAATGACGATATATCTGCCGAAACAGGAAAGTAATGAAGGAATTCGCAGCCCGGTTGGAGAAACTGGCCGAGGAGCTTCTGGATTTGTTGTGTGAGAATCTTGGACTCGAAAAGGGTTATCTCAAGAAGGCATTTTACGGCTCTAAAGGCCCGAACTTCGGGACTAAAGTGAGCAACTATCCACCATGCCCAAAGCCCGATCTTATCAAGGGCTTGCGGGCCCACACGGATGCCGGTGGCATAATCCTTCTATTCCAGGACGACAAGGTTAGCGGGCTTCAGCTACTTAAAGACGGTGAATGGGTCGATGTTCCACCCATGCGTCACTCCATTGTCATCAACCTTGGTGACCAACTTGAGGTACTACTACTATACTACACAATTTCTTTAGTAAAATTGTGTAAGAGGTGGAAATCGAACTGATCGGATTGGAATCAGCATTTTTAGATGATTCTTTCTTTTTTATTTCTTTAAAGTAAAAAAATATTTCTTTTTATTGAAATTAGAATATATATGAGATTCAAATTTTCGATCCAGTTTTAATTTTCGAAAACTCTGATCTTTTAACATTTTAATTTACTAAAAATTGGAAATTTCTGGACTCTGCGAATTCCGATCAAATTTTTTTCTGATTTTGGAACAAGTTTTTTTTTTCATTTCAATTTCCATAATTCCAATTTCCTAACCTTTTCATTTTTTTTTTGGGAAAACAATTGGAATAAGTTTTTCACTTGCGAAAATTAATCAGAAAGGTCTTAATTCCGATCCTATTCGACCCCTAACGAATTGTGATTAACTTTCTCGCTCTTCCTCTCTATAGGTGATAACAAATGGGAAGTACAAAAGTGTTCTGCATAGAGTAATAACACAAACTGATGGTACAAGAATGTCAATTGCATCATTCTACAATCCAGGCAACGACGCCCTAATCTATCCTGCGCACGCTTTGATTGACAACGAAGAGGATAAAAACCAGTACCCTAAATTCATGTTCGAAGACTACATGAACCTCTACACTCGTCTCAAGTTCGAAGCCAAGGAGCCAAGATTTGAAGCCTTTAAAACCCCTGCTTAACTGTTATAGAGATGCTCTCAATCTTATCATTACAACTGTTAAAGAAATTACACTGAGCTGTAATAATTTCTGTTCAAGCAAATAAATTTGTGAAAGGAAATGACATATGATCATAGAAATTCACTAATAATGAATTAATAAATCCATACAAAGTTTCTTAAATTATTGCAAAAATCAGGTCAGCTTGAGAGACCACAAGTTGTTACAAAGACAATGACATAAAATCTTCCTAAGTATCAAACACTTCAAAAAAAAAAACCCGGCAAGGGTTCGCACGTACGCAATCTCTTCCCCCGAAACATGACACGAAAATAAAAAAAATTCTAAATTGTCGAACACCTAACTCAAACTTAGAAGCATTAACAATTAAACCCAATCAAGAAAGGTGAAAACTCAAAACATTTTTAAAAGAAACAAAACACCACATACCTCTTTTCAGTTATCTTCTTTTTCGACGACATTAGTAATAACCGCCGGCCCATTTGCAGCTTCTTCATTCGAACAATGATTCTTCAAAACCGTAGCAATATCCGCCTCCGAAGCTCCGGCGAGCTTAAATCTCTCGACCGCAATATCAAGATTCTTGTTCCAACCATCCAATCCCAATCTACACTCAATTTGGGATCTCTCGAAAAGCATATTCCCCCAAAACAAGTGAATCTGAGACCTCATAACCGCCGCCTGCTCCGCCGCTTCCTCAGGTGAAATCTCTGCCGGACTTCCCACACCAGATAATTCACTACCCTGTTTCTTTTTCCTCTTCAAAATCTCATCTTTCTTGTTAAAGTTCGGATCTTTCGCCTCTTTACCTCTCTGCTCCTCCAACTTCTCCCACATTTCAGTCGCGGCTTTCATTTTCTCCTCAGCACTGTCGAATAAACCAATCGTCTCATTCGGGTCCCACTTCGAAAGATCCTCTTTTTTTGCAAGCACAAACGACCAATGAAGCTTCGCCATCTCAAACTGCTGCTGCCCTAAAGCCAAAAGCCCCTCGTAAAAATCCGGTTTTATTGAAAGGGCCTCCTCATACTTCTCCCTTGCTAACGAGTACTTCTCCCTCACCCAATCGTAAGCCTTTTGAAGCTGCCCCTCCATCATTTCTTTAGCAGCCGATTCGTCTATCGGAATCCTCTTTCTAGCAGCACACATGTGTACGTTTCCCCAGTTGAAGAAGGCCAGTGCCGCCACCTCCTGAAATTTGAGTGCCGCCTTGTCGAAAAGATTCTGAGCATCTTCGCTAGTCACAGTTTCTTCAAGCGCTTCAGAACACAGCTCCATTCCAAGCTCGTGTAGGTCAATATGAGCGTCGGGGTCAATACCGACATGATTACGGAAAAGCTGTGCAAATTCAAACAACCAATCATCCATCTCCACTTCTTTACAATCGGGGTCTTCTTGCGAAATTCCCGTTTTCTCCTTCTCAACGATTTTCTCAGTGCTCTCAATCTCCACAGTTTCTTCAACTGCAGAATCCTCAGTTTCAACTGGCTTCTCTTCTTCCTCCTCTTCGAGTAAAGGCGGTTCTTGCTCGGGGCTCACTTCCACAATATGCAACCTCAGCATACCAAAGGAGTCACCTTTATCATTATCTAATTCTTTTTCAATAAGGCTGTCGACCGATGACTCAGCAAGTCTAAGTTCAGAAGAACAAGTTATCGTCACCAAGTCACCGTCACTGTCCTTGTACTTAATCAGCACAGCTTTCGACATCGGAAAACGCTTACCAACCACCTCTCTCAACACTTTCAAACCGCAATTGACGGGCATTTGCGCAAGCCTAATGTCATGGTCGTACACAAGCTTCAATTGTCTGTACCTAATCACAGGCTGCACATGAAGTGGAAGTGGGACCCGTTCCTTCTGGATATCATCCTTGCTGGCATTTACTGCAACGGCTCTCGAAGAACCGTTCGAGGGCTTCAACGCAACTTTCGGCATCTGGATTTTAGTCTCGACCCCGTTTTCAATGGGTGGGATTGGATAAAGCTTCTCCGACTTATTGGGCGGCAAAGTGGGTCCCGCTACGGGCTTCTTGGGTACATTACGGGAAGGCAAGCACGGCCCGAGGCCAGCAATGGGGGCCCCACGAACCGCCGACGCACCGAGTGCCGCCGGAGAAGGGCGGCTCTGGAGGTCTTCTTGGCGGGGGCTGAGAGCCATTCTCAATTTGCCAGCGAGATCTAGAGCATCCGTGTGGTTAGGGTTGGAAATCAACAATGACTGCACATCTTGCAAAGCCATATCATACTTGCCTATGGCTTCGTAGGCTCGGGCCCTACGGAGTAGAGCCCGCACGAAGTTCGGCTGGGCCTCTAGGGCCGAACTGCACTCGGATATGACGGCTGTGTAGTCGATGGGCTTCATCTGCATCAAACAGGCGGCTCTGTTGCTGTGGAACACGGCTCGGTCGGGGTGGGATTTGGGGGTGATTTTTAGTGCAATTTCGTACTGTTGAAGGGCGCCGACGTAATCTTTGGACTGGAATCTTTTGTTGCCCTCTTCTTTCAGCTCGTGTGCTCTTTTCAGGAAGGCGGATGAGTCCAAATTGACGCCGCCGTTAGCGACGGGGGGCGGCGGCGCCGGCGACGAGTGGTTATCTACTACGGTGGTGGTGGCTGGGGTTTGGGTAGGGTTAACGGTGGCGCTACCGCCACTCTTCTTTTTCCTACCCCCAGATTTCCCCATTAAAAATCTCTTAATTGTTCCCAAGATTCGAACTTTACTCTACAAAATTTGTTAATTTTACTTTTTAATCAACAAACTCGGAATTCACTACAGAATTATGCTTCGCCGATTGCAAATTGCAAATTTTCTAAAAAAAAAATTGGGGAAAAAAGCAGAAACGAAACGGAGAGAGAGGAGAGAGAGAGAGAACTTACTGGGGATCAATAACACGCTATTACTTGATTCGATTGTGAAATAGAAATACCCAGCAGCTGAATTGGAGAAGATGGGTTTTGATAATAAAAATAAAAATAAAAAAATGTTGGTGAAACTGAGAGTGGAAACCCTAGGCAGTAAAATGAAAGTGGGGGAATTTCAGATTATTTTCCGTGGTTGAATATCCATTGTGGGACCGTTTAATTCGTGGCCACGTGGACCGCACGATTAGTATGTGGTGACCATCACCGTTGATTTCGAATATACTTTGTAATGTGATGTAATAGCGTCGTTATCATATATTTTATTTAGCCCATTATAGTTTGGGCTGTCAATTTGTAGCCCACTTACTATTGAACAAATTCAAGCATTTTTTTATTTTGGGTAATTACACATAATTCAGAAAATTTAGACTTTTTAAGTATAATTACAATTAGACCACTACCCGCGCTTACGAGATCCTACATCTGGTACTATATGATTTTAAATCGTAGATATACACATACATATGGATGTGTGTTTTATTATGTGTAGACCAATCGCATAAAATTGTATGTTGTATTTCATAGGGTGGAGGTTCATTAAAACCACTATCTGGTTAGAAAAATTATAGATACTTTTTGAAAGTTTGATTTTAGCTAGGGCCGGTAATTTGGATCAAATTCAGTTCGATCCACATGGATCATGTTTGCATATAAGAAAAAAACCAGATTGAAATAAGTTGACAACTTTTAAAAAATGGATATCAATGTGACAATAAAAAGTGAAGTGGACCCTATCAAGATTATCATACTCTTGTCTTTGCCGATGTCTCTGCTCACCGAAACCGCCGTCTGCAGCGCTCATTCAGCCGCCGTCAACACGACATGTTTCTCTCCCCGTTTACAATGAATTACCATTTTCAATTGTTTCCGGCTTTATTTTGATCTGAATTTGGGCTCTCTTGGGCTTTAATGTTTTATCTTGATCTTGATTTGGGCTCTCTCGGGCTTTGATACTTCATTGATTCAATAAATAAACCCATTTATTCTTTTTTTTTTTTTTTGTGATCATAGAATTTATCGGTTTCAATTTTCAAATCCAGAAAAATCTGATCATTTTATTCGTAATAAAAAGCTACAAATCAGAAGATTAAATGTTCGCAATCGAATTTAGGGCCGAATTTGATCTTCTCCGAAGCATGGCAGAGCGTGAGTAGTTGCTGAGCCTTGGGCGACTTCATATCCGGGAGAGAATCGCCGCCGCCGCCGCCAGGCTCACGGAAACACACGCACAAGTCGTGTCGGTTCGCCGGCGACACCGCCGCCAGTTCGTCCACTGATTTCACGGCGGCGCAGCACTCGGCGCTCGGCTTGGGAGCCTTCCCCTCCAGGTAGTCGTTGCAGGATATCAACTCGGAAAGGGCGTAAATGCAAAACATCTCTTCATCCGCCGCCGCCCGGAAGACGCTCAGCGCCAGAACTACCACCGCCGCCGCCGCCGGACACCTGAACAACCACCAACCCCTCGCCATTGATCGATCTCTGAGCTTCTCGTTTCGCAGTTTTGGTTCAATGCTGATGTTTATACATATTGATATAGTGCGTTATAAAGGAGGGGCGATTAAATTTGAATTAATTATGTTTTGCCATTTTTAAAGAGCGGTTAAATAGTGATTTCTCATTTTCTTTCCTGAAATGCTATTCATAGAACAATTTTTACCGGCTTGCAGTGCGACTTTATTTCATTTGTAACTTTTCTTCAAAAGATTCAAAATCCTCTCAAACCTTATCCAAGGTCTTTCGAATTTCTGCGGATTAAACGAGCAATTCAACAACGATTTAAGTTAAAACTCAAACTCGAAATCATTAACCTAATGTTTTATAGTAGTATATTAACAAATTTCGTCGAAAATCTATACGTTTTTAGTATTTCGAAGAAATTCGAAACTTTTCGGAAAAAAATTGCGTTTCGTGCAAGAAATCACGAAATTAAAGGGCTAATTTCGTGATTTTTCCACGAAATTAGCAGGATTGTTTGTTTTTCTTAAGTTTCGTGCAAAATCTTACCAAACAAAAGCTTACATTTCGTGAAAAATACACAAAATTAGTGCTTGTTAGTTAAATTATACTAGGCTAATCATATCTGACAAACTCGATCTAGCGATCGTTGATAAGATGATTTGAACTTGAGTCAATTGACACATTTTCACTAGCTCCAACCGCTAAGTTATTCTTTATGGGGCATTCCTTACCAACAACGACATCGCATAATACAAGCCGCAAAAACTCGATCACAATGCTGATCGTCAAATTTTGCACTATAGCGGCGGATGACATTATATGATCGATAAGATAAGATATTAATAATGTACAAACTCATACTTCAGAGTATGCTCTAAAATTATGTGAACGAGTAAGAATATTTACCATAAAAATAATTATTTAATCAAAAGCATTTCATTAAAATAGAAAATTTAAAAATGATATGCAATACAAAATAGTAGAAAAATATAATTTTGCTATATTTAATTTAATTAAATTTTTATCACTACACTTGCTTAATTACGTTGCATATCTAATGAAAATACAGTTTCGGGTGGGCCCAACTGCAATCACACACCAAGTCCGATCCGCCGGCGCGAATATCCAGAATAACTCTTGTCGATATATATATATATTCACATAATAATATTATCACACACTCCAAAATCAGAATCAATGGCGAAAATAGGAAGGAGATTCGAAGGTAAGGTAGCCATAGTCACGGCTTCGACTCAGGGGATCGGCTTCGGCATAGCTGAGCGTCTCGGCTTGGAAGGCGCCGCCGTCGTTATCTCCTCCCGCCGTCAGGTATGCGCCTCCGATCATCGATCTATTCGGATTTTTACTGAATATATTTTCAATTTTCATTTTTTTTAATGTCAGTTGTTTAATTTGGGGATTTTTATTTTTTATTTTTTTCTGTTTCTAATTAAAAAAATAAAAAAAAAATAAAAAAATAAAACCTAATTTACACCGATTGCGCTTGTAGAAAAATGTTGATGAAGCAGTAGAAAAGCTAAAGGGTAAAGGAATTGAAGTGCTGGGTTTAGTATGCCATGTTTCAGATGCACAGCAAAGAAATAATTTGGTGGAGAAAACCGTTGAGGTAATTTTTATTTATTTATTTATTTATTATATACGGTGCGTTTGGATTGAAGGATTTCAAATCAATTACAAAATATAACTTAATTAGAGCTAAAGATTTGTATTTTTTTGTCGGAATAATCCATCCTAAATAAGCTCAATTGATTTGTTACTTTGGATTTGAAGTTGTCAGCTCAAATCCTTCCATCCAAATGCAACCTTATCGATTTAGATTTTTCTGTCTGTGTGTCAGATTTTGATTTTATCTGTGAATTATCTCTAAATAGTCTTGATGATTGGTTATCTTCTTAGGTCTCGTTTGGTTGGGGAGATTAGCTATGATTAACTAAATAATTGGACTCTGTTTGATGTTTTGTATCCCCGATAACTTACCGGGTCGATTCGCAAATATTATGTTATCGTGGTTTATTTTGCCTTATCTTGCCTTTTAGGGAGCATTCTCGTTGGACGATAAAATAATTGGATTCTCATTAAAACTGAAAAGACTTCTTTTCATTAAACGCACATTGTAGATGTATTGTAGATTTTGAACATTGTCGATTTTGAAACGCACATTTTCGATAAAAGACTTCTTTTTGCTCCACTTTGAGTATATAAAATTAGATTCCTTAGATATATACAAGTGAGGTTGTCTATCTTTTTAACTTCTAAAAATTTGTTCCCGTGCGCCTACAGAAATATGGCAAAATAGACGTAATTGTGTGCAATGCTGCTGCCAATCCTACAGTCGATGGTATACTCGAAACTAAAGAATCAGTCCTCGACAAACTATGGGAAATCAATGTGAAAACCTCCATTCTTCTTCTACAAGTACGTCAATTCCACATGGATTATGAATTTCAATTTAGTCGATTTCTGAATTTAACATAGATCTATTTGCAGCTTTGTTTGTTAATTACATCTATTTCATTTATGACAGGTGGCAGCTCCTCATTTGCAGAAAGGCTCTTCAGTTATTTTCATTTCTTCAATAACTGGCTTCCATCCACCTCAAGGTTTGGCTATGTACGGTGTGACAAAAACAGCCCTTCTTGGTCTCACAAAGGTACTTCAAAATTCAATTGAATATGTTACGTACAATTTTTTTTTTTCGTATTTAATTCCTATATATCGTTTTGCTTTTTAGGCTCTTGCAGCTGAGATGGCTCCAAATACTCGTGTTAACTGTGTTGCTCCTGGTTTTGTACCGACCCACTTTGCATCTTTTCTTACAACAAACGAGAGCATAGTAAGTCTTCACTTCTATGCTTTCCATTTTATGTCTATTTGGAATATGCTTCTGATGGTATCTTGACTTTATTACATCCTTAGCCTTGTTCGAGAATTATTAAGGATTATGTTTCATAGACAATATATATAATCGAGGTTAACGTAATGGAGCTGATTGTTCATGTGGGTGGTTTTCTTTTTAATTTTTATTTTCAGAAGAAAAGCCTATTGGAGAAGACACTGCTGAATAGACTCGGTACTACACATGACATGGCAGCGGCAGCAGCTTATTTGGCTTCCGACGATGCTTCTTATGTAACCGGAGAAACATTGATAGTTGCTGGAGGTACACCTTCAAGACTCTAGATTTCTTTTTTTTTTTCCTCTCTCTTACAAGATTCTAGATCGTTCTTACAAGAATCCGAAACTATGTTATACTTGTTGCCGTGGAGCGAATGTTAAATAACGGAGCCATCCATTATCTATATTTGATGGAGAGGCTACATTGTAGTTTCTTGTAAGTTTTGAATCGATGAGTTTAAAACTCGTAATGAATCGATAAATTAAAATCGTGAATCGTTGTAGTTTATTTAAGCCCACACTAGTGTAATGACAAAGACGTGACTGTACCAAGTTGCCGATATGGACAGTGCCCTCATCTCGCAGTTGCAATGCACTTTATGAAGTCATCCATTACGATAAAAATACGTTTCAATGATCACAATTCAAACTCATTTCCTATATTTCATTTAATACATTATGTATTTTGATCGTGTATTAATTGCATCATCTGCAAGAAACAACAGTTAAAAAGCGAACTTTGAAGCCTATTTTCGGCAAAATAATCGAACCCCACTCGTTAACTCAGTAATGTCATTAATCGAAGTTGTCTTGGGGAAAGAATTGACGCCATTGGAGCTTATGGGAACTTTTAGCTGAATAATTGGTTTCCCGTTTATTAATCTTGTGAGGAAGGTAAAATCATGCATGGGATAAATCGGGTTTTGTAGATGCTACACCCGGTGAAATATACCGGGTGATGCTATAGTATATAAAATTATACCCAGTGTATTTCATCGGGTGTAGCATCTCATAGGCCGATAAAGTGCATGTTCGAAAGAGAAAAAAGAAATGCAAGAGGGCCCCACAATTCAACTAAAGTCGTCGTTGTAACTTTATTCGTGAAACCAGCAAGCCGCTTATGGTTGTTCCCATTTGCTGAGACTTCGTACAATTTCAGCCAAAGAAAATAAAATAAATAAAATTAAGAATAATATTCCCCCATTTTTAAAATTTCCAAACTCACAAATGTGGTATATAGCATATAGTGCTCAACTTTTGAGTATGTGGCTCTACTAAAATCACAGCATTCAATGATTCCTTTGGCAAAAAACTCTCTCTCTCTCTCTCAACTCTCTCTCTACACTTTAGAAACAAGAATTCACGAGACACCCCTGAAATCTCTGCTTTGAATTCATCTTCTTCTGCCAAAGAAGCTTTTTTACCTGATGATATACCCAACAAAACCCAATGAATCTGTCTTCCTTTCTGAGCAATCTTCGTCTTTTCGTCTCTTCGTCAAATTCAAATCTACATATAGCCATGCAGAAAATTTCCTGTGTTAATCTCTTTCGATCTTCTAAATCTTCTTCCAATTACTAATTTTTCGTTCCGATTTCGAAGACACCGTACTTCCTTTTAATGGGGAGGTGCAACCCGGTTTTTGGCTCCGTTTGGTGGTTTTTGCTTTCTCATGGTTTTTACGAATAGCCTTTCTTCTCGAACCAATCTGCATATTTTGGTTCAGAACACAAAAAAAATCGAAATAAATGAAACCCCATAACAATTCTCATGTTTCTGAATCAGTTCATGCACTTCTTGAAATCAATGCACACCTTCAGAAGGAGATTTCCACTCAATAGTGTGTGTTTCGACCTGTGAGAGAGATTATTCCACAATCTTTTTCAAAAAGAAAAAAATGGCCGCCTCGTGTTTCAATCCGTTTCGACTCCGAAAAACGAAGAGCAAATCTCTATCAATCCCTTCATCCTCGAGAACACAGCTAAGCATAGACAGAGACAACATGGAGAGAAGGAGATTCGACAGTTTGGAATCATGGTCAATGATTCTTGAATCTGAGAATGTCGAAACATGGGATGCATCAAACGAGGAGAGAGAAGAGTGGACAGCCGATCTGTCGCAGTTATTCATAGGCAACAAATTCGCCTCCGGGGCCCACAGCAGAATCTACAGAGGAATCTACAAACAGAGAGCAGTTGCAGTGAAAATGGTCAGAATCCCAACTCACAAGGAAGAAACAAGATCTTTACTCGAGCAGCAATTCAAGAGTGAAGTTGCCCTGCTTTCTCGTCTATATCATCCCAATATCGTACAGGTAAAATTTCCCCACTTACCCTTCTTCATATTTAATGATTTCAGATTTTCTTACAAAACCCCCTTTTTCTCTGCAGTTTATTGCAGCATGTAAGAAACCGCCAGTATACTGTATCATTACGGAGTACATGTCACAAGGGACGCTGAGGATGTACCTGAACAAGAAAGAGCCATACTCTCTTTCAGTGGAGACCATTCTAAGATTAGCCCTCGACATATCTCGTGGAATGGAGTATCTCCATTCACAAGGGGTGATTCACAGAGACCTCAAATCGAACAACTTGCTCTTAAACGACGAGATGCGAGTTAAGGTTGCGGATTTCGGGACTTCTTGTCTGGAAACACAGTGCAGAGAAGCCAAAGGGAATATGGGAACTTACCGTTGGATGGCACCCGAGATGATTAAGGAGAAACCCTATGCTCGGAAAGTTGATGTGTACAGCTTCGGGATTGTGCTGTGGGAACTTACCACAGCTTTGCTTCCTTTCCAAGGAATGACTCCGGTTCAAGCTGCTTTTGCTGTCTCCGAAAAGGTTAGATTTTTGAATTCACTAAATTCTCGTAAAATTAGCCTTTTCGGACTATATGTTGCGTTCTTAAGTTTTCATCTAGTTACATATCACAGTATGTATTATTCTAGATTATCATTGTGCAGCTGAGTAAAATAATAGTAATGCAGATAAAACTGGAGATTTTTATCTATACATTATAAAAAGATGAGATTTTACCAAAATACATTATAACTATGTAAGGTTTAGGCTGAATGTGAATAACAGGTCGTGGAACAAGACGACAATGAATACAGTGTCCTATTCTATTTTTATCTTATTGCATTAATTGAGGTTCTTGATTTAGTGGTCCTATCTTATCTCTCAAGTCAATGCTAATGAAAACGAGAGCCCTTCAAATTAATTGAATCAACCCTTTACTCAAGTCTTCTCGTTTATCTGCTGAAAGTTCAAAGTTCAGAGTATTAGGACAAATTAATCGAATAGTTAAAAACAAAATCTAACATACTTGTCTTGTTTTATTCCTCAATTTTACAGAATGAGAGACCACCATTACCAGCAAGCTGTCAACCTGCACTTGCTCACCTCATAAAGCGCTGCTGGGCAGCAAACCCATCGAAGCGTCCCGATTTTAATGAAATTGTTCGTGCACTAGAAAAGTACGACGAGTGCATAAAGGAGGGGCTGCCACTAACTCTCCACACAGGGCTTGTTAGCCGAAATGCTATTCTTGAACGCTTAAAAGGATGTATATCCATGAGTTCATCTATAACTGTACATGCCTAACTCACAGATAGACACATATATGGTATTTGCTATTGTATTCTGTTCTTGTTTTTGGCTTACCAAAGTTGGTAGATTTGTCGATTTTAAATATGTATATAGCACAAGTATTTTTGTAGTTATCCGATTAAAAATCAGCTCACTGTGCATCTTTTGATTTGTGCAAATTACAGAACTAAATCCTGATGCTGCATGTATAGTTACAATAACAGAAAATCGAGTAAATGCGCAACCTGCAGTAATTTTTTTTATTTACTTGCAGAAATTCTTGTTAAGTTGCAGCGAAATCTTGAAATAAAATCATCACTGTAACAAAAGAGGATTTCTAATCTCTCTTCTAAAACAATGTATCTATTGTAAATGTCAGGGGATAAACCATTTACCAATTCAATTAATTTTTCAGAGAATTCTATAGAGCACCCTACCATGGCAACTCATCGTGATACATTTTAAGGCAAAGAAAACTGGAAAAGACATCTCGAAACGTAAATGAAATTCTTGACCTCGAAGAATAAATAAAACGGACTGTTATAAATCATAAAATACGAGTAGTAACATTGCCTAACGACATAAACTATAAACACACTCAAAATTCAGTAAAAAACATCGTAATAAACCACAATTCTTCATTGCCTCAACATATTTAGAGGCATCGGGGGCAAAGCTTTACTTACAGTTGTACAACGTATCAGCCTCAAGCTAGATCTCCATATCCTTCGATTGTTTGCTTCATCTCATCTAACTGCACAATGACGTATTCTAATTTCTTGCAGCAAATCTCGTTCGATATCCGCGGAACGTAGTCGCACTTCTCGAACGGACGGTACTCGCACGCGCTCTTAATCTCCTCTCTCAGCGTCATCTGAATATCCTATTCAACCAAATCAAAATGGAATGAACCAGTTAAAATAAAACCCCAAAATTTGCCACAAAAAAAAATAATTAAAAAAAAAATCCTATTTTTTTCAATTTACATATAATTAAAATAAAACCCCAAAATTTGCCAGAAAAAAATAATGAAAAAAAAATTCTATTTTTTTCCAATTTACATATAATTAAAAAAAATCCGTAATTTAATAAGGAAATAATGAAACGCAATCGCCTGAAAAATGACCTTTACAGATTGCATGAATTCACTACAGTGGCTGTTAACGAGGTCCTTTCTGGGGCCGTTAGGGTTCGCCATTTCTTCCATTACGCCGCCGGCGAGCTCTAATACCCTCACAATTCTCTACGAATACAAAGAACGGAAACTTCACACTGAAACAATTGGTTCAATTCACGAAACTTGATTGGGTGAAAATTTATGAAGAAATTTTACCTTTTCCACGTTTTCGAGTCGTTGCAATGAAGTGGTTTGGCTCTGTGGATCCATGGCAGAACTAGGTCACGGCGGCAACCAAAACGACGTCGTTTTCTTTACCCAAACGGGTTTCTGTATTTTGCAAAATAAATGACGGCACGGGTAGAGATAACTCTCTAGTGTCTATTAATTTATCTTAGAGAAGTCAATTCCAATCCGAATTTTTTCGATTTCGGAATAATAATTTTCAATCGGAATTCCGATTTCTGATTTTCTCGAAATATTTGGATTGTGATTGTGATTGTGATTGAAATTGGAATTGGAATATATATATATATGAGATTTCTGATTTTCTCGAAAATTGGAATATATATGAGATTTCAATTTCCGATCAGATTTACGTTTCCAAAAAAAATTCCAATTTCCACCCGAAATTCCAGTGATTCCGATATGAATTTTTTTGATTTTGTAACAAATATTTTCGCTCCAATTTCTAAAATTCCATTTTTTTTGGAACGGAATTGAAACTAATTATTAACTTCCGAAAAAAAATTTGATTTTTTTCGAAAGGGCTAATTTCGATCGGATCCGAGGAGTAGTCTATGTAAGAAACTTCCAAATTGCAATCTTAAAAATTTAATGTTAGTAAAAAAAAATTATAGGTTTCATCTCCCAGGAGATGGAGAACCATACAAATTGCTCTCACTAAAACACAGGAAAAGAAGCAGCATCAAACGAAACCTAACATCGAAATTACAGCAATACATTTCTTAAAACTAATTTACTTTCGTCCGAAAACAACAGTCGAGATCACTCAATGAAACTGATACTATTTAATTTGATCTATGTTGTTTCAGTCGGATTTATTTTCACCGTCATGCGCTTTTAAGCCCAAACTCAAATCCAGTGTGCTTTCTTCGTTTAGATCTTGCCTTTCTACAGGATCATCCTCCGTAACCTGATATTAGGAAAAAACTGCTCTATCATTTTCAAGAAAATAAAATAAAATATATAGATATATACCGTATTTAAAGAAAATTTACAAATCGAGAAGGAGAAAAGAAATTATCAATGTGGTCACCTCGTTTTCATCCATCGGTACGTCGTTAATGTCGGGTTTTTCATCAGATACATCATCACTCTTGGAAGTTGCCTCAACTGTGTTGGTCTCGATTGGCATAGTTTCTTCATCTTCCATCTGCTCCGAGGACTCGTTTCTTTGTTCTTCGAGTACAACAATCTACACAAATCGTTCCAACGGAAAAAATAAATAAAAATAAAGCATAAAATCAATCGATGAAATCTAGCTACAAAACCTAACAAATTGCCATGGGTATTGGTTGGGTGTATCCAATTTGTCGAACTTTGCGAAATGTGGGCATTAATGAACAACAACATTAGTGAATACCAAACAAACTTAGTGTTGGTTTGTTGAGTTTACTAAGGGTTCGATCTTCAAAGATATGAACATGCGTGTTTGATCGTTTACATGGTGGAAAATAATTCCGGCTAATATATCCATTAGGACACGAGAAGGGAACGTCTAGAGTCTAGACTAGGGTTGGTCCGATTGGATTTACATCTAACGCATTTCGTCTCATATAATCAAGAGCTGCATAGTTAAGCAAAACCCCCCCAAAACACACACACACACACACACACACACACACACACACACACACACACACACAAGAGCAAAAGGAGTGAGATGTATGAACAAACATGCAGTCAGTCAGTTGGTCACTGAGGCACGCAGAAATAAAAACGACTTTTTTTCGTATAATTCCCCCTCTAAATGCAGCTCATTCGTATTGACGGAAAATAAAATAAAACGGGAACCTCAAATTGTTGGCTCGACACCATTATAGATGAATTAAGATACAAAAATTGGTCCAAAAATACGAATATTGAGATATTCTATCCGATTAAAATTCTTCTCGCATCGACATGGCAGTAATTATAGTAGGTCGCAGAAAGAAAAGGGATGTAATGTGTGTTTCTTCGGATGAATTCACTCACACACACACACACACAAAAAGGAAGTAGGAGGCAAATTCCCATAAAAAGATATGAGCAAATAACACAAAACAAATTTCCAGCTGAGAACTAATAGAAACCCTAAATCAATGAATTCAAATTGATCCCCAAATTCCTAAATTGAAATACGAAATTAAAACCCTAATACCACTATAAAAGTAAAGAAATTAAGCAGCAGATAGCCAATGGAGAAATTCAGAAACTATTCGCAGTTAAATTACGGAAAAATTACCGGAATGTATTTGAATTTTCTCTTCGGAGGCTCTTCTGCTGCAACACTGGCGATTTTATCGGAGTTCTTCGGTTCAGCATTACCATTATCACTGCCGTTATTATCATTGTCGCCACCGTCTTTGGCTTGGCTGGGAGCGAGGGGGGTCCATTTATAGAACAGGAGATGAGATGCGGCGTCGCCGCCGTTGACGCTTCCATTAGCCGCCGTGTGATGGTGGTGGTTGGAATTGGGCGGCGGCGCGTTAACCCACTTCTTCTTCCACTTGCGAACCGGACCGGTGAAGACGGTGGTGGGGCCGCCGTAGCGAGTCGAGGATCGCCCGAACCTTGCCCCGACGCCCTCCATTATTTTGGGGATTGAAGTCGCGGCGGAGTCAATTCACCGGCGGCGTTTTCAGCTGCGTGTAATATAAAAATAGTTGTTTTATTAATGTTTCCTGAAAACATTTGACGATTTTAGTTAGGGAGCAAATATTTAATATTGGGAATTTTTTTGGGTAAATTACAACCACCCCAGAGGTATGGTCAAATTACGAAAACCCCCCTCTTGTTTGGATAATTACAATCATTCCCTCAACTCCTCAAATTTAGTGGAATCTTCGAGATTATATGGAATATTACCACTTTTGTACCCGTTTTATCTTATTCGAACTCTACATTCTGAAGCAAGATGATCATAATATGTGTTTTTTGGCTTGTATATATCAAATTGTGGTGCATCAGAAACTGTATTTTTACACCAAACGAGTACAAACTAGAGCACATTCCAAGAAATTTAGATGATTATGTTGAATTTGACATCATAAGGGTGGACGTGTAAGAAAAAAAACATAGTTGAGGGGGTAGATGTAATTATCCAAACAAGAGAAGTTTTTTTGTAAATTGACCATACCCAGGGGGTGTTTGTAATTTAATGATTGTTATTGGGCCGTATTTTTTTTCTTTTTTAATGAATGGGCCGAAATTCATTTTGAGATTTTTTGCGGAAAATTACAGTTTTCACACCTCAAGTTTGAAAGGATTCCACATTTGTCCCCTACGGTCACAAAAACTATATTTGGTCCCTCATATATTAAAAACTTTGTACTTTTTAGTCATTTTCGTCAATTTTCCGTTAGTACTAATGGGATAAAGAGTGTTCTCATCACTATATTAATTGACGGACTAACGGTAATTGAAGGAAAAGATCAAAAGTGTTAAATTATTGAAACATGAGGGACCAAATATGTAATTGATGCAAACTTAAGAGGTGAAAATTATAATTCCCCCACCCCCTCTTTTTTTTTTTTTTTTTTTTTTTAAATCACTAAATTTCATATTGAGGTTAGTGTCAATTTCGTAAAATTTTAGTTCCTTCGTAAGTTACAAACAAGTTTCCATCCCATGTTTAAAAGAATCCAAAATTCGAATGAATTAATATGTTTCAAAATTGAATGATAATCGATAGAATTCGGAAATTTTCTATTTATTTACTTATTTATTTATTGACATATAATATATAAAAAAAATCCATAATAATAATATTGACATTATAAATACATTTTTCCGAAAAATAAAATCGGAATCTTGAAATTATTTAAAAAAACAAAATTAAATTGAAAATTGGAGTTGTGTATAATCTCATCCAATTAAAAAAAAAAAATCGAACAAAATTAAGATTAGAATTTTAAAATTGGGAAAAAGGAAAATAGTTCAAGGAAAAAAATACATTTCCCATCCCTCAATTTTGCACTGATTTCACATTTGGTCCCCTATGTTCACAAAAAATACATTTAGTCCCTCGTGTTTCAAATATTCAACATATTTAGTCATTTCCGTCAATTTTCGTTAAAACTAACAGAATCGAATGTGGGAATGTTCCCATCACTACCTTAACCGACGTACTAACGTTCAATTGACAAAAATGACCAATAGTGTCAAACTATAGAAACATAAGGGACCAAATGTGTTTATTTTAGAACATGGGGCTCAAATGTGTAAGCGTTGCAAACTTGATGTGTGAAACTGTAAAAATTTCCCATAGTTCTAAACTAATGACGTTTTTTGTTTCACTGAGACGACGGCGTTTCAAAAAGAGCTTGAAAATTTACAGTCCAAAGTTTCCAACGTTTTTCAATTCCAATGGAAACCCAAAACGCCATTGTCGGAGCTTCTTTTCATTCATCTCTTCCCAAAATTCAAATCCCTAAAAATCATTTATATTCAAGTATACCTAAGATTCGCATCCCCAAATGGATTGCACCGAAAATTCAATTTTCCTCAACCTCACAAACTTCAATCGCCAAGAGAAGAAGCACACAGTGTAGAAACAGCACTGAAAAAATCGAGAGCAATAATAAAGCCGACGAATCCAAGCGAAAACTCAGAAGGAAAAACATGGCGGTTTTCGTCTCCGGCGGCGGCTCCAATTTCCGGTCAATTTACGAGGCTACTCTTAACGGCTCAGTTCACGGCGATGTTGTTGTATTGGTCACCAATAAACAAGGTACATTCTTCTTCTTAATTTCCTAATTGTGATTAACTGATTATTAGATTTTCGAAGGTTAATTAGGGTTTGTAAATTATAAAATCTACAGTTAATATATTTCTGATTTATCAGCTCAATTTCTGCAATGTGTAATGTAGATTGTGGAGGTGCAGAGTTTGCCCGTAATAATTGTATCCCTGTTATTGTGTTTCCTAAACGAAAAGATGGGGAAGAAGAACAAGAGGTGTTTTCTGTTGAAGACCTTGTAATTGCACTGAGGTCAGAATCGAACCTTATTTTATTCGAAATCGATGATATCTGGTAATTATTTAGACCCGTATTTTGTTGCGAATTCATTTCGAATTCTAGAGGACAATTATAGCTTATGCTAATTTATCGCTAGTCGTGTAAAAGTCTAGATATCGGAGTTCGATTGTAATATAACGACCTTTGAAGAGAGGGATTACATGAAACCAGCTAATTTATCGTTATTTTTTTGGTTGCATTTCTTCTGTTTTGTGTTATAAACTTCG